TGTGTATCTATACAAAAAAAAAGGTGTACACACACACACACACACACACACACACACACACACACACGCACACTTACTTACCGGAAGATTCTGTGACTGTTACAGCAACATAAAGGTACTTGTCATTTAGCTCCTCTAGGCTTTCATATGATAGTTCTTTAACTGCTGTTTCAGAATCAAATGTGACACGAGCAACTCCATTGATCAACTTTTTAAAAGGAACAAAAGGAAGAGTCAAAATAGAAAATGTAGAGGGAAACTTGAAAGTCTGCTTTTGTCAGCCTCTAAATTGAAGGCAAATTGCTGAAGACACATTTTATTGCCACAAGAGAGTGACTGAGCCTACAGTGACAGCCAGCATGCTGTTTTCTTTTTTCTTTTCTTTTCTTTTTTTCTTTTTTGGTTTTCCAGACAGGGTTTCTCTGTGTAGCTTTGAAGCCTATCCTGGCACTCGAGACCAGGCTGGCCTCAAACTCACAGAGATCTGCCTGCCTCTGCCTCAGAATGCTGTTTTCTAATGAGTTTGTACAAAATTATAGATGTGGAAGGGTTTTTGGCTATTGCATGGTCTTTTGGGTACCAGATGATAATATAGTATACAATAAGTAAAGAAACATGAGGTTTGTTTATATCATATTGTTTAATTACTAATTATATTATTGAATTATTAAAAGATACTATTTTTCTTATGTTTTGTTTTTTATTTATTTCTTATTTGAAAATGGTTTGACCTGGAGGCAGGCATTTTTGTCTGATTAGCTTGATTGATTGATGCTGGGGATTGAACCCAGGACCTCATGCATGTTAAAAATGCACTTTGAGCTACATCCCTTGTCTTTATTCCCTTTAAATCTCTGGGCTTAAAGTAGAATCTTGAATTTTTAGAAGAATCTTAATTTACATATTGAATAAATAAGGCTGTCTTTTCAAAAACAGAAGCTAAATGTTTGATCATGTAAAATGCAAAATCGATGAATGTGCAAATGTATACAAAAGAGACAAGACCCCATGTCATCTGTGGTGTAATGTGGAGAACATTAAATAAGAGAAAGGGAACAAGGGCTTGAATCTCAGTTCCTGTAACAGTCAGCCCTCAAGCCTAGACAGATCTCACCGGTATCCACACATCTTGTGGGCTACTCTGCACGGAAGAGGCTTCTCTGCCTCCAGCTGCTCCATGCCAGAAAGCAGCCTCGTTTTTAAACTAGGAAACAATTCTGGGCATTGTTAAGTATCCCGTTGGGTTAAATGCCCCCCATCCCAGTTGAAAGCCACACTGAAGAAAGCACAAAACATGTTTTAATGAGACCCTAGGCCTGGGAGTGAGGAACCTGTCTGACTCCATTTTGAAGTCAGGAAGCATTATGCTGTATTTTAAAAAATGTTTCTATTTACTGTGAGAGTTGAGTTGCTCTCTGTTTCCTGGAAACTGACCTTCCCCAACCCATGACCTTGATTTGTTTTTTTAGAACACACTGACCCTCTTTGACCCTCCCTACTCCTCCCTGATTCCTCCCTAATCACGTGGTGGGTGACCACATGATTTTTTTTAAAGATATGTATTTTTTTTTGTATTTCCCTATTGTTCTATTGTCTCCTTTCTGTAAAACCTATTTGTGATTTTTACTCCTTAAAAGAGGCCCAAGAGGTAGATTCGGGGCTGCTCTCTTTAACCTGACTTAGGAGGCAGTTGCTGGCCAGCTCTTAGGTATACCCCAATAAAATTCAAGCTTGCTTCAAATTTGGCTCAAATTCTTGCCATAGGGATTAACAGGAACATATAGAATGGCTGGCTAACCATGTTTGGGTGGCCAGGGGCTAAGACCAAAAACCAGTGCAGTGTTGAAACGAAGATGGGATCAGGCACAGAGGAGACAGGAAGGAATAGAGGGAAGAAGAGAAGACTTAGAGGCAAAAGTGGCTATGTTGAAGAAGGGAGGAGATGGCTGACAGGGGAGGCTGGAGCCAAAGAAAGGGCCATGTGTTTATTTTGTTTCTGTTTTGCATGCATGCGTGTTTGTTGTGTTTGCAGTATAAGCATGTGTGTGAACACACAGGTGAGGGTAAATGCATGTGCACATGAAGGCCCAGGTTGGCTCAAGTGTTTTTCCACTTTACTTGTTGAGGTGGGGTCTCTCAGTCCAGCCCAGGGATCAAGGGTATGGCCCAGGTCCACAGTCAGCTTGCTCTGGGGTTTGAAAGGGAGAGTTTATCTGAAGGCCAATAGATGCCCACTGGGGATTTTAACCTCAGTGTCCACACCTGCACAGATGTGGGGTTGGACTATAGAGGGCTTGTACGTGACGATCCCTCCTCACATCATCTTGAGGTCTCAGCAAACATCTTACCGTTGTGACTTGCATTGCTTTCTGCATCATTTCCTTCTGGTCCTCTTTTATACTTTCTCTCAAGCCAAAAAAGACATACACTTCAGCATCCGGGACTACTTTATTATAAAAATATCTGTGAACAAGACCAGAAAGTTGTTTTCCTGACACTGTTACAATCGATGACTCGGGTGAAAAATCTTACCGATTTTAAATTATATAAGGCACCTGATATACTTCTACCCACTATGGTATCTCACCCTTAGAAGACCACAGCAATGAAAAATATGGCTTTTTATGCCAGCACTCTGAGTTCAAGGTCAGCCTGGTCAACATATTGACCTATATATAGTTCATTAGGGGGACTATAGGTGAGAACTTGTCTCAAAAACAAAAATAAAGGTAGCTCAAGGCTTCATGACTTAAAAAGGTAGAAGGAGGTGGAGACAGGAACATGTGACTGTGGACTCCTGACATTTGGGCAGTCCAGGAAGCAGAAATGGGATTCGTCTTTTAGTTTGGCCAGAGCAACGAGAAAAGTGGGGGTGAATATGATTAAAAGACATTGCCTGTATGTGTGTGATTTTCAAAGAATTGAAACAGTGTATTAAATACAAGATACTAGGTGAAGCCTTCTGTATCAGTGTCCACACCCTCAGTCGAGCTGTGTGGTGGTTTGAATGTAATTGGCCTCCATGATCTCAAAGGGAGTGGCCCTATAAAGAGGTGTGGCTTTGTTGGCGTGAGCATGTATGGCCTTGTTGGAGGACGTGTGTCACTGTGGGGGTCAGCTTTGAAGTCTCCTATGCTCAGGTCCTGCCCAGTGTCTCAAGTCAACTTCCCATTGCCTGCAAGATGGACTCTCAGCTACTCCTCCAGCACCACGTCTGCCTGCACACCACCACGCTCCCTGCCATGATGATAATGGACTGAATCTCTGAAACTGTAAGCGATCCGCCCCAATGAAACTTTTTCCTTATAAGAGTTGCTGTGGTCATGGTGTCTCATCACAGCAATAGAAATCTTAACTAAGACATGTGCTTATGAATGCACACACTGAGCTTCAATCTTGAGGATGCTTTTCTCTGCCTTCTAAGGTGACATCAGTCTATCGCCAATTCAAGGAACACAGTAAGTCACAGGCCATCTTAGGACAACTCTGAGAGCTAGAGCCAGAACTAACGTAGCTAATATTAGGATTCAGGCATTATGCTGGCCTGACCCCTGTCACCTGGCAGGATGCACTCAGGCAGTACCCTGGCCAGCCCAGGGTCCTATGGCTGCTATATCACTATGTATTCTGTGTGTCACTATGTAGTCTGTGTGCATGTGCTATGTCTCCCTTTAAGAGACAAGCTCCGCCTATTCCCGCTCTCCCCCCCCCCCCCCCCCCCCCCCGTTCCTTTGAAGAGGCAGGCAGATCTTTGTCTGTCTGCCTGACTCTCTTTGTCTCTCTCTCTGTCTCTCAGTCTCTCTTCTTTCTCCCTTCCCTTTCTCCACTCCCCTTCCCCCAGTAAACTTCCCACATAAGTTCTGTCTGCATGGTGTGTTTGTCCTTCACCCGCTGTGCGGCTTCCTGCCAAGGTCCCTCTCATGCTGCAGAATCATAACAGCTAAACTGAGAAAGTCCTTACCTGGCTTTTACAGTGATTTCAAAGTTCTTAAAGTTCTTAAAACCAATGAAGTTACTTTCTGGTTCTATTGAAACAGAGAAACGTGGCAAGACTGGAAATAGAAATGAAGAGATGGTGTTATTATTTATCCAGACAGCTATACTTCCTAGTTGGACAACGGGTAATAAAGCATCTCCATCATCATCACCACCACCACCATCATCATCAACAATGATATCTTTGATAAGCTCTCCCTCTCTCCAAATCAGAGTGAATCCAGACTTGGTTTTTATTTTGGTTATAGTGTATATTATGGACAATAGATTATTTTCCCTGGTAGAGAGGAAGTTCTTTAAAAACAGAACAAGGACTTTTTTTGACTCTGTGTCTCTGTTTTTGTCTTCTATCTATCTATCTATCTATCTATCTATCTATCTATCTATCTATCTATCTCTGTCTCTTCCTCTTATCTTTCTTGTAAGTCTTAAACATAGTGTTTCTTTAATGAGTATTTATTAAATTGAAAATAGCAAAGGAAAATGTGGGTTTATTTAGTATCTCTCTTTCATTAGTAGATAAAATCTATCCAGTATTTTAAGTGCTGTCATAATCTCTGGTGTTAGCATGTCTGTAGAGGGTTGTCTTGATTTTTAGTTGATGTAGGAGGTCCTAGCCCATTGTGGGAGGTGCCATTCCCTGGGCAGGTGGTCCTGGGTTCTATAGAAAAGCTAGCTAAACATGAGCCTGTGAGCCAGCCAGCAAGCAGTGTTTCCTCCACGGTTTCTGCTTCAGGTTCCTG